AACGACGATTGGTGTGGCGGTTTTGGCAACCGTCGCTAAACAGCCCGGGGATACACGTTTCTGCGACGGTACTACAACCGTCGTAAAATGCAATTAATGGTGGTTTTAGCCGTCGTAACCTTCCAAAATAACCGTCGCAATCCACTATTTTTCTTGTAGTGGATGCCTTCCCTTTCTCCAAATAGAAGCTAATCTTGTGAGGCCGTTGCTATGTTTCTGACTGCAGTTACTCCAGAAATTTCAAAGATAACATATCAATAAGTAACTATAAAAGCTCTTAAAATAGTTACATTAGTTAATACTGCAATGTATTTTATTTAAGGCCATTCTTCCAATCATGATGACATATTAAAATTTTGATAAACGACAAAGATCAACCTAGTGCATAAGGATTTTACCGTGTAGGGTATGGTGAGGGTGGATGAGCATAACATTATCTCTGCACAGAGAGACCGATTGTAGGATCTGAACTGACGGCCTCAAGGCTTCCCCTTCTAATAATCGATAAGCAACTTAATTTTCATGAATTATAAGATAACATGATATATATATATATATATATATATATATATATATATATATATATATATATATATATATATATATATATATATATATATATATATATATATATATATATATATACACTTACTTAACTAACAAACTCAGGAAACTTAGCTGATTCCTCACATGGATTCATATGGGAGAGAGAAATTATGGGCGAGAGAAGTTATGACACCATCCAGCCAACTAGTTGGGGTGACTAATTCGAAGACGATGTCTGAGTCTAACGAATTAAATCGAATTTCAACTTATGTAGTCAAAAATAAATTAAAAGCGGCCTTAAAGGTCGAGGTACATTCACAAAATAAAATAAATAAAATAAAATATTAAAATATTTTACAGGATTTTGTGTTACATGATAGATTTAGTTGCAAAGTTTTATAACAAAAAGATATATTCACAAAATAAAATAAATAATAAAATAATGAAAAATCGAGTTCCTCTAAAACAAACTTAAAATTCTAACTAGATGATATGTAGGCAAATATAGTAGTATTTAGAAAGATTTGATAAATCCATAAAAACTTAATGAAAACAAACTAACCGGTGCATAATCATTAAGGTTTATGATATAGAAGATTTAATTCATAAAACTAAATTTATTAATGATGAAAAATAAAATAAAAATAAAATAATGAAAAATCAAATCCCTCTAAAAAACAAAAAATTCTAACTAAATGATATGTAAGCAAATCTGTTAGTATTTAAAAAGATTTGATAAATCCATAAAATAATGAAAAATTTGAATGAAAACAAATTAACCGATGCATAATCATTAAGATTTATAATATAAAAGATTTAATTCATAAAATTAAATTTTTTAAGCAATAAAAGAAACTAAACAGTATAAATAAATATCAATGAGCCACTTAAAACTGTTGAGTTAATTAAGTTTTCTTTGCTGAAATACAATAATTTAGAGAATTTAGAGGTAAATTCTAAAATAATATCTTCAAAATATTAAAAAAAAATTTAATCATTTGATAGTCAGGATCAAATCCACCCTTCCACCGCAGGTCAAGTGAAAGGGCGATGACGGCGGGCGAGCGAGCAAAAGACGAGCACACGGGCGTTCCCTGAGGGACACTCCCCGCCACTTCTCCACGGGGGATTCAAAGCTAACCTATCGCCCCTCCCCGGGGTACTCATTGGAGAATGCACCCGTCCCCGGGGCATTCATCGGAACAATCGATCCTCCCCGGGGCATTCATCTAAACAAACCTAAAAAACCACCAGATACGACGGAAACTCGCATCTCTCCTCGGGGCATTCATCATGCCCCGACCACGGACCCAAATCAAACGGAGGAAATAAAAGAAGAGAAGAAGAAAACTCACTTTGTAACAGCGACGAACGAGGTGCAAAACTAACGGCACGACGGTGATTCACAGCAACGACGGACGAGGAGGAATCACAGAACTTCGCAGGTGAGAAAGCAAGGCGAAAAGTAGAAAATGCGCGGGGACCCCCATATTTATAACCCGACGCGGAACTCGAAGCGACACTAGGCCTTTGAGTGCCCTGATAGCCGCCCTCGCGCCCACTCGGTGCGCGACACGTGACGGTAACCTGACGGTCACGTCCCTTCAAATGCCTTTGCCCCGCGCACCCGGCAATCGGAAAAGACCTCCACGCGTACACGTCCCGCCGAACACAAAACCGGCGAGCCACCTGCCTCGCTGCCTCATTCCCCGAAGCAACGACCTTAAGTCCTTGCTCTTTTGTCACAGAGCTTCGACTTGGGGGGCTCCTGTTCCGGCCTGGGCCCAGCCTCGCGGCTCAGCCCAATAACGCACAAGGTTCAATGAATGGAGTAGCCTGGCCGATCACACGCCCCCCCGCCGGACGGGTAGGACATGCTCCCTGTCAAGCAAGACGACGCCCTTCTACGCGTCTTCGGCGCTTCCCCTGGCCGGACAGAACAGCCTCCACGGGCAAAGTCCCCTTGCCAACGGACATGACGATATGTCTCCCCCGCTCTCGGGTGCTCCCCTCCGCGGGGAAAACCCCACACCCTCGAGTAACCTCCCGAGCTCCCCTCCGCGAGGAGAACAACGTGCCATGCGCATGTTCTCCACGTGCTCCCCTCGGTGGGGACACGTCATCTCCCAACTTCCCACCTTCGAAAGAGCAGGTCAAACCCACTTTCCGGAGATCACGGACAGTTGGACTAGGGCGAAGACCACGTTCTGGTCTTCACTACGCCACGTAAGCCCTAGCAGTCACCTGGGTTGGGCCTGACCATCCAGCCCAACACAAGTGACCGTTGGCCCAGCGCTGGGGTCTCTCTATAAATACCTTCTTCCACAAGAGGGTCGGGTAATTCACTTCTTACCCACTTTCTGTACTTTGCTCTCACTCTGCCCAATTCCTTACTTTGGCATCGGAGTGTCTTGCAGGTACACCACCCTTCTCCTCCTCATCTCCGGTGAATAAGTAGCAGTCCAACAACGTGTGGCCAGCCCGTGATCCCCTTCTGATCAGGTCAGATCACCTAGTATCAACACACGATTATGTTCTTCAGTATATCACAAATAAAAATTTGATGGTATGGAATGAGAAGGAAAATGGTGGAAGGTAAAAGATAGAAAGAAGAAAGGGTGAGAGAAGATAAATGAGAAGAAGAAAGGGTGGAAGGTTAACTGATATTATTATATCAGTAGGAATTTGAAGTGTTATCTAATGCGCACATTTGCGAGGGGGTGCCCCACGCCATCACAACGATCACATTGACGTGTCAAATGACTGACTGCATGTGTGGCACGTGGACACACATTACGACGGGGTACTCCACGTCAGCTACGAAAATTGATTTTACGAGGGGCTACCCCTAGCCAGATTTAACGTGTTGCAGACTCTTTACTGTTCTGTGGCAGTAGAATAAATGCTTTTGTAGGTGGATTTGACTAAAGTATGTCAACTGGTGAGGGGATGCCCCTCGCAAATTGCACATCATATACTGGTGAGGGTTGACCCCTCGCAAATTGCCTCAATTCCCACCAAGTTTATGCGCTGACTCTTAGTAAAACCTTGTTTCAAATTTTAAAATACTTTCCCTCCTTGTTTGCGAGGGGTATTCCCTAGGAAGTGTTTTTTATTTTTTTCTTTCTATTTTGTGGTTTGCGAGGGGTTTAACCCCAAGCAACATGGTTTTTTTAGTGAAGGATTTTCCTCCTAACCCATACCCCTAGCTAATATCATGTTTTCTTGTAGTGTCAGATCTCGTGAGCTTGAGCTTCTTGAAGCGCAAATCATCGGGAACAAGCTTTCAATTATTAGCATATTTTCAATAATAGGAACAAAATACAAAGTTTCCTAAAAAATCTCCAAAATTCTTATTATGAAACCAAAATCAAATCTGCAATGTTCCTAAAATATCCTTGCTTAGTTGCGCTTGTATCAGAATTAAAATCATCAAGAATCTCATATTTTAAAATCAAATCTTCAAGGCTTTAAAATGCAGAACTGTTTTGATGTTCTGGTAACATGTGACACATCTGAAAAAACATCTATCAAAAAAAGTAATAGCAGACTTTGTTGTACCAGTTGGTCAAGATGTCATGACATCTTACTCAACATCTGTCTGTGATACATGTGTTTCTAAATTAAATATGTTTTACTAAAATTATTGTCAATCATAAAATCACAGACCTAACAATAATAATTCATGTTACGTATTTATACGTCAATGACATTATGAAGCCGGAAAAAAGAACAACATTAAACTCATATTAATAATTCATAATTAATGACCGCAATAATAATAATAATAATAATAATAATAATAATAATAATAATAATAATAATAATAATAATAATAATAATAATAATAATAATAATAATAACTTACGGATAAAAATGAAATGAAAATTATAAGTGGTGTCATGTAACATTATGGCTAGTTAGTTATAGGCAAGTAAATTGAGTTTTTAAATTGATACAAAAGTTTTGAATTGAGTAGAAAAAAATATGAAGTAAATTTACAAAATACTTAAACGGAATGCTATTGCATTACTGTGGCAAGTTAATATAAAATATTTACAACATTTATAAATTATGATCTTTAACATCATGATAACCATAATTTAAAAAAGTTAATATAAAATATTTTAACTAGGTTATATTACATATTTATAGGTCAATGAAATTATGAAACAGAAAAACAGAAAAAAGTTAATATAAAATATTTTAACTAGGTTATATCACTTGATAGATTTATTAAGATTTGATATATCCATATAATAAGGAAAACAAACTCACCGAGATTTATGATATAAAAGATTTAATTTATAAAACTAAATTTGTTAAGCAATAAAAGAAACTAAACAGTATAAATAACTATGAGCCACTTTAACCTGTTGAGTTAATTAAGTTTTCTTTGCTGAAGATCAACTCAGAATTTCAATTTTTATTCAATGTCTCTTTTCAACCACACAATGCCTCTCTTGAAAGATCATGCTTCAACATCTTCATCTTCATCTTATCACTCTTTTTCCATTCTTAATGGTGGTGATCTTGCTTCTTGTTCTTCTGGATCGAAACGGAAATGTCCGCTACAAGAAACCAACAATAGTTCATCGTTGTCGGATTTGTCTTCATATCCCAATGAAACTAATGTTTGTCTTCATCTGTCTCTATATTTTTGTGATTGCATTCAAATTGCCAAGAAACAGAAACTTGCTCACCAAGAAACTAATGTTGATGCTGTTGTTCTTGTTGGAACAAGTTCTGATCCATGGAAGATCAAGAAACAGAAACTTGTTCACCAAGAAACTAATGCTGATGCTGCTGTTACTGATACTGTTGGAACAAGTTTTCATTCTTCAATCAGCAGTGATGCTGCTGTTACTGATACTGTTGGAACAAGTTTTCATTCTTCAATCAGCAGTGATGATCCATGGAAAATCAAGAAGGTACTCACAACAAGTGATCTGGAAAATAATAGCAGACTTTTGTTGAAGAAAGAAGTGGCTAGGAAATGGGTCGTTCCTTTTGTGGATAAAGATAAAGCTGAGAAAGATGGAGTCCAACTTTCGGTTTTTGACGTTGACACACAAACCCTTCGTTCTCTTGTTTTCAAGATATGGCCTTCGAATAACAGTCACGTTTTCAACAATACATGGATCAAGGAATTTGTAGATAAAAGAAACTTAAAAGCTGGAGATGAAATTGGTTTTAAATGGGATCAAGACAACAAGAGATTTGATTTTTCAGTTCTTCATAGGGGTGTTAACAACTGATATTATTTGTTTATTCTTCATTATTTCTAAAACATCTATCTTGATGTTATTATTTAGAGATAGAACAATATTCTACAATATTCTTTGTAATTTGATAGATTTTAAATTTCATTTTATATTTTCAATTTATTAGTGTTTTTGAAGTTTCTATTCTGTTTCACTATATTTTGTTGCCGATTTGAAGTCAGTTTCAATCACAGGTCGACAAATGTTTCAACTCACCATCCCAATTTCACTAACATCCGCATATTTTGTTGCCAAGACATGATTAATTGAGTTTCCTTAATATTCTCTTTTGCATATCTTGTTAATCATTTATTGTAGGACAGGTTGTTTTATTATTTTTATTTGTTTCTATTTTGTTGGAGTTTGTTAATAACTGGCTCCTAAATTTTAGAACTAGCTATTTGATTATTTTAATTATTTATTATTTGTTGGATTTAGTAAATAAATGCCTTGTAACTATGGATGCATTTCTTAAGATTCAAATACAAATGATCTTGAGATAGAAACAAGTAGATCGATTCTAATATGTTAAACCGTTGAAACTGGATGCATTTCTTAGGGCCAATTCGGACTGATTTTTTTGTCGCTTTGATCAGATTCAATTTTATCGGTTAAAATTAATTCATTTGGTCGGTTAATTAGTTTTTAATTATTTTTATTATTTATTATTTGTTTTTATTGTGTTGGAGTTACTAAATAAGTGGCTTTTAAACTTTAACAACAAGTAGATTGCTATTAGGTTAAATATATGTGTCATCCTCATAAATATTTAAATTTCGTTTTTAATTTTTTTAAATATTTTTTTTAAATAATAGTTTTTTTTAATTTTTTTATCTATATATTTAGTCTCTCCTACAATTCAGTGACAAAATTAACGAGTATTTTAGCGACGATTTATTCTTAGATTAGTAGGTCCATTTCAAATTTCATTTCATTCTGCATTGCATTTTAACTAACTGCTAACCGGTTTGCCCAGTCTGTTTGTTTTTGCATTTTAGCGATGGTTTTTATAACTTAGTGACAAAATTAACGAGTATTTTAGCGACGATTTATTCTTATATTAGTAGGTCCATTTCGAATTTCATTTCATTCTGCATTGCACTTTAACTAACCGCTAACCGCTTTGCCCAGTCTGTTTGTTTTTGCAGGAAAATAGCGCTAGGTGCGCGTTAATTTACAGTATGTTGGTGATTAGGAAGCAAAGTCATCATTAGAAACTCCTCAAACAATTAGGGTTTCCATCTCCGAGTCATGCAATTTTTATTTGAGAATGGGTTGAATTTTCGACGTCAGATTCCTCGTGACACAGTACAGTTTTGTTCGAGAACCAGAAGTGGTCGTCAGTTGAGTTTTGAAATGTTGTCTGATTCTAAACCGTATAGAGTTGAGGGCATTGAAATATAAATGAATTCGGGTTAAATCGGTGCGAGAATTGGCTTCAAGGAATTTATTCTGACAAATGCACGTGTTCCTGTTTTTTTCTACTGGTTACAAATTAATCTTTGGAGGAACAGTGAAACTGTGGTTTGCATTAAATTCCTAATAAATATCTGTTGGTTTGATCACGAGTATCAGTCGGATCGATTCAGGTTACAATGTCAAGTTACTCAAGATACAATTTGGATTTAAATGCGGAGGAAAGTTTGTTTTTGCCGTTAAAATGGATCTATCTGTTTGTCTGTTCAAGGTCAGGTTCACTGATTTTTTTATTACCAAGTACGGGTTAATTCTTTCAAGGCTCGGTGGAGTTTGTAATTTGCATCAGGCATCAGTTTAATTCGAGGTTGGTGCAAGCCATTAGTCGCCGACTTCGGGTATTGAAATGACAAGTTTATTCAGAAGGGAATACAAATTTGAATTTAGTAAAAAAAAATCAAAGTTTTATTAAAAGACTGAAGTTATTAAATTTCTATACAACTTTCATTACAACATTATTCGAAATATTTACATTTGTTGAAAGTTACAAATTAAAGCCTAAAATCCTAGATTTGTCCTAAAAGTTCTAACTCCTACGAGTTCTTCATATCCGATCTTCAATCTTCGAATCTCCGAGCTTGCGAAAAATCCAACAATGTCAGAAATATATTTAGTGGGATTAATTAATTTTTATCAAAAATGGTTTTTAGTTGTTGTGATACCCTCAGGAAATTATCATCATCGGGTATGTCGGGAGGGCAACGAAACATTCCGTCGCCAGCTCCCGACTCTAATTTCCGACCTCGGCAGATCCGACAACATCTGTTCAAGGCATCTAGAGAGAGAAAAAGTTTTGAAAAAGAGCTTATTTTAAATGATTTTTTCCGTCCAGCCAAACAAGTCATAAAAATCTAACAGAACCAAATCATATCCAGACATACAAAAAAAAATCCAACGGTCCAAAACCAATATGGGATATCCATCAGGAATGAAATCCAAAGCCAGTTCATAGCAAAACAAACTGAAATCCAGAAAAACCGTGAATCCAAATCATCAGATAAAAAACAACAAATTGCAGATCCCTCTGCTCCGAAATAGAAAATTATAATTTTCGGTAAATCAGGGTCAGCAAACCAAATCTCAGATTTTCAAGGCAAAAATAACGTGAAACAAATCCGTAGATTCATCTGCTTCAAAACAGAATCAAAACAAATCAAAACGTAAAAAATGTGGTAACAAGATCCAAACCCACAAATTAACAAACCATAATATAAAATCATCATCAAAGATCAGAGAGAAGGGGACGAGATTTTTGAAACCCAAAGATCCATCAAGAGCAAGATCTGTCAACAACAGCGCAAACAGACCAGCAAAACGTCATCAGTCATCATCACCACCGTCCAAAACCCATAACAGCCACGAGTAGGGAGCCTCAGAGAGATGAAAATCTTCGTCTCGTCATCATAACGCCACCACCATCCGCCGCAAGCTAAATCGATTCAAACCCATAAAAAGAGGGTGAGCAATTTGTGCTAACGGAGTATTTTTGTTATTTGTTTTTGCAGAAATCATCAAGAAGCTCGGAGAAGAAGAAAAGCATGGTCATGGCGGACGAAAATGAAAGAAAAACCGACGGAGAAGATGAAGAGGAATGATGCGCCGCGCAAGAAGAGGAAATGAGTTCCAAACCCTAAAATTGCCAACTCTCAATTGACCCCTTCCCTTTATATTTTCTTTTTTTAATTTTTGATTTTTAGTAGTTTAATTTATTTATTAAATTCTGTTAAAAAAAACATCAATTCTATTTAGTTCTTATAATTAAAACTTAATTTAAAACTTAATTTTAAAACTTAATTTAAAATTTAATTTTCTTAATTCAATAGATTTAAAATTTTATAATTTAAAATTAACATTTTTTAATAAATCTAGTAATTCTTTAATTTAGTTATTAGTTTATTGATACAATTTTTTTTCTTTTCTAATTAAAATTTCAAATAATTAATTTTAAAATTTTTCTTTAAAACATGTCTAACCTAATTCTCTAACATTTCACTTTTAGTTTCTAATTGAACCGTTATCTAATTGCTAATTTAATCCCTAACCTTGCCTCGTTTAATTTTTTTCTTATGTTTATGACGTTCCTAACATTATGTCACTATTTGCCCTTGTTTACTAACCTCATATCTTTCCGTATTTCATTTTTAATGGTTGTAATTTATGCGAGGACATCGTCGCTTCTTATTCCGTCATTATTCTTGCACACTTTTCCATATTTCAATATTGTTACTTATTTATTTTTCATTATATTTATCTCTCCGTTAATTTCCCTCCGAAGGATAGGTCTAGCCGTTTGACCGCCACGTCAATAGTCCTTGACCCTTGACTCTTTCACCTTTCAAACCCTAATTGCTTAGGAATCCCGCCGTGGACCACTTTACCCGTTACCCTAGTTTTAGGATAAGTAGTCGCCACACTCCATATTAGGTTTCCCGCCGTGGTATACCTATTTTACCCTTTTTAATTCAATTCAATTACAACGTAGAAATAGGAGTCGCCGCACTCCACGCAAGCGCTTCTTTAAGACATTTGCATCCCCATGAAACCTTGACCACAGTTAAGAAGTTTCAATTCCTCCCTTTCAAGGGGAACTAAGATTACTCTGATTCCATCCCCTACCTCGGATACGTAGGCACAAGATGCGAGTCTTGGCGAGTAAACATAGGACTAACCCTTAGGTCTTTCTTTTCACCTTCTAACCCTTAGCGTATACCCTTAAGAAGATAATTTTAGCAAAATAGCAACATTAAAACAAGAGGTTCCTGTAGAGTACTACAAAGGTTTAGGGTGCTAATACCTTCCTTAAGCTTAACCAACCCTCGAACCTTAGACCTCTCCCCGCATTGTGTTTATGATGCAAAATAGGTTTGTCCTTTCTTTAACCTTTCCTTCGGATAAATCAAAGACCGACTGTGAATCAAAGATTTTTTATTCAAATTAATTAATAATTTGATATCCTATTCTCACTGCAACAGAAAATGGCGACTTCATTGGGGAATATCTGAGAGTATCTTTTGAGGGTTATCCCTACCTGGTTTTGTTTGATATTTTTGCTTTACTATTTTCTTGTATATATATCGGTTGTACCTTGCTTGGGGTATCCTTTGTTGTGAGATAAGTCCTACACCCGGACTTGAGTGCAATTAATATAGGAAGGTGATATATTCGACGAGGCTTATAGGGAGTGATTCCCGACAAAGCTGACTTGAGAATCACCGCTCAGTTGAGGCCCTCTTGAAAATTAGTACCATTGAACGAGTATTCGTGAAAATGCTTACTATTTTCGACTAGGATTCTGTGATACTGGGGACCGTAGTTACCTTAACCCCACTTTGGCCTTATCTAGGACGTAGTGCGAGGACTATGAGGGAGTATTCCTGAAATAGTTGATACGCGATATTACACTCAAAAGAGGTTCTCTTGAGAATATTATTAACCACCGAGTCAGTCGGAAAATTGATAATATCTGAAAGATGAACTGATGACTTTGGGCACCTCTTTAGAACCCTTGTTCTGCAGGT